ACCTCTTTAGGAGTGAGTGAAAATGTGCCCATGTTGATGAAATGCATCAGGACAGCATCCTGCAATGACAATCTCAATCCCCTACCATGAAACATTCTTCCCAAATTCTAAAAGCCACTTGACAATGTTTACAGGTGAATAGCATTTTCCTCCACCTCATCACAAAAGTCACATCTAGCCGAACACAAAATGCATGATTTCCCAAGTCACAACAAAATACTAAAGAAATACCTAGGTTTTTCCTCTCAAATTTTTTCAATTCAGAAAATAAAATCTATTTAATTTCTCCCAGATTCCTTTTTTTTTTTTTTTCTCTGCTCGTGCTTTCCTTTGAGTTCCTCTCTTGCATCTCCTTCAATTTCTCATTGATTTTTTTATTCCTTTCTTCCATTCTATACAATTTCAGGTTGCCTAATAAATTTTAAAAAGCTTTCATCTGAAATTCGGGAGATATATGTTTGCTATCCATAAATCTCTTACCAAGTTAAAGCAGAAGCTAAGTCCTGGCCACTTGAAGAGTTGATTGACCAAGAACTTGATTTTCAAGTACCCATCTAACAAAACCATATTCAATCAGTATGATAACCAGACTGGATAAGAAAAAATGTACAATAAGTTGAAAACTTAACAGAAATCGTGTAAAATTAACCAAAGCTCCAGATTCACAATTTAATTATTTACAATAATGAACATAAATTTATCATCAATATGCAAGAATTGAAAATAAGAGTTCAAATAGACTGAACTTTTCTCAAAAGAGAAATTACTTCTTCTTTTTTTATACTTGAAGCTCTCTGTTCCTCTTTCTTTGGCAGAGCATCTCAAAAAATCCCGTCTCTCACTTATCATCTCAATGCCACCACCAGATCCCCAAATCTTTATTAAGCTCCTATCAGACTCCAACACAACACAATCAACCACAACAACCACTATAGCACGAAATGATAGCCCATGGTCGTCTGCCTCTACAACTCCCTCGCCATCTGAGATGAGATGGAAAACGAAGACGCGCCAGTGGCTTTAGTAGCACAAGAGGAGGGAGGGAGGTCTTCTAACCTGGGCAAGCTAGGGCTTTTTCTCCGTCAATGACGTTAACGCTTCTTGATGACGTTAAATGTTTTCTCCCGTTACATCGATGAGCTGTATCCGTGATGCTGAGATGTTGCCTTTTTATTGGATCGGGATACCACTGACGTGGTATCCCGATGATATTCTAGACTTTCTCCCCCCCAAGATGCATAGCCAAAACAAGACAAAGATATCACATGCCAAAATTTTAATTGTAGATTTCTCGCGAACAGTTGTGTTCCACCTAGGCAATATGGTTGTCTTTAAATTCCTTGTGATTAGACGGCCTTTGTTTTTTATTGGGGACCCAGTCAGGTAATTAGTTATGATACGTGGGTTTCGAGTCTGATGTTTGAACAGAGTATTATACATAGAAAACTTTTAACGTTTTAATAATTGACATGGCACACATTTAAAAGAGAAAGCTTACAATGATGAGAATATTAAAGAAAGAAT